AAAATAGTTTTTGTGATTTTTAAACGGCCTTAGTTCATTACCAACATGCTCGAGTAATTTCATTGATTTTAATTATGGCCAATTACCATTGTTTTGAATAATAAATCCGCTGGCGGCAGCCTAAGTTCATTCCTCATTGTTTTCCTTCGTGGTACGAGCACTTTAAATCCTTCCCATTATTCGGTTACAGATCAAAATTCCTTTTATTTGCGTGGTCGTTATGGCCCCTGCCATTCACCTGTTGTTCTGCTGGCTAATTTCTGTTGTCAAATTGCCCTCGCTTTTCTATGAATTCCATACACACACACACACATACACCGTGCTGGCCCTGAACTGCATTACGCATACGCAGCATGGTCCGGTGGGGAAAAGCATTCACCATCTCCCGGGCTCGTTGCATTGGCATTATTTTTTCACTTAAAGCAACTGCAACCATTGCGCACTGGCATTTCCTCTCAATTGTTTGTGCCATTTTCTTTTTATGCATGGAAAATATTTCTTTTATTCTGTTGCTGCTGACGCTGTTGTTTGCCTTTTGTTAATGTGCAAGTGCTGGTTGTTTGTGGTTTGCATTGTTGGCCGCCCAAAGCCCCGTCCTTAACCCTTTGCCCCCCGTGCCGCAACTCAACTCACACATGTGTAACCAGTTCGCCACTGATGCGTTTTTAATTGTGTTTATTTCCGCTTCGCTGTGACACGTCATTTATTAGCCCACAAAAAAAGAAACCGAGGAGGAGCTGCGAAGCTGCTTTAAGAACCTTTTCGTTCGCTTAACCATAAATCTTCTCCGGGGTCTCGATCAATCTTAGGGTTAAATATTGCAGCCTGATTTATTCGCTGACATTTTGCATTACAAGAGCCATTCCCCGCTGCTTTTGCTGAAACAAAAAGTTCGAGCCAAGCAAATGGGTTTATTTACAACATGATTCTTGGGGGGAATTTCCCGGGTCTGAGCCGGAAAATACTGCGTGCGAAAAATTCGTTAAATTCTCGCTGGGCGGCCACCGTTTTTGTCCATTGTTCCACAATGCCTTTTGTGGCTGCTATTCCTCATAATTACTGTCCAAAATATCCATCCCATTGTTTGGCTTGGCAATCAACGAAATCAGGAAAGCAGCTACGGAAAATGAAATCTCTGGAAATCCGATTGCAGAGCTTGATGTTGATTTGTTTTCTCTGCCTGCTGAAAATGCATTTCAGCTCCTTTTACCTCCGAGGTAAATAGCTGTAGCTGCCGCTGGAGGTAACACGAACAGCCACTTTTCCCTGAAATTAGCTTCCACACCGCCGCACTCCGGTGGCCACATCATGCGTTATCACCTGGATCACCTGGCATATCCTGTTTCCAAATAATTAGCGCCCATTTAATGCCTCAGGCGACCCGTCAATTTGTTGCACTGCAGAAAGGGCGTCGATGCTGTTTGCCATTTCGAAAAATCTTCTCGGGGTCCTTTGGTTCGACTGGAAAATTCTAGTTGAGCAAGTCCTGTCACAATCAGGAGTGCATCCACCTTGAAGGGCAAATATTATTGCCAAGACGTGAGTCATTGCGGTTCAGTCTGATGGTGAAAAACTATTTTCAAATAACAAAATATTTTTCTCAATTGGCAATTACCGTGTTCATGACTATTGCGAAAGTATCAAAATATGATTTGAATTTCAAACTAGAAGGATTGCTAATGCTGACACATCACAATGTCCCAATTAACTCGGCAGTTATTTGCGAGTTCAAATTAATTACTGATGCCAACGGGTTCGGAAAGTCCGTTGGCAGCCTACTCGTTCATTTTGCCTTTGAATGGGCTCAAGTCGGATCAAGTTGGATCAACCTGGATCAAGTTGCAATAATAAATCACTGCTAAATTTAAATAGAGGCAGCGCGCGGACAATGCAGCATATTTGGTTTTCAGTGGGAAGGACGAGGAATATTTGCATTTTCCCAAAATGCAGAATGCTAATCAAAGGCCTGCCGATGGGTTTCCAGTGCTCTGGAAATTAAGGGGAATTAGTTAATTCGCCCGTGGAGGCAACAAATGCGGAGGTGCAAAGTCGAGATGGGCGTGGGACTGGCTTAGGAAGTCGGAGCTGGCGATGGTGCTGGTGCTGGTGGCGAAAAGGAGCTATCAAGTTGTCAAGGAGCCGAGGTCATGATTCCGGTTAACCAAATCGAAAAGCACAGTGTTGGAGTCAAATTCGAAATTATTGCCAATTAAAATGGATGACTTTGGTTTTGGCCCAAATGTTTCGAACTGTCAAAAGTTTGAGGACATTCAAAAGAAATTTCAAGCCGAATAGCCAGGATACTGTGTTAAATATGCCAATAAGGTTGTTCCTTACATTATTAGGAGCTATCAAAATATTACAAACCACATTTTTTTATATGAGTTTTACAAATTTATTAGCAAATACCACATTTGAGATGCATTAGAAGAGGAAATCATTTATATTCGAACTTTTCTAACTTTTAATTGCTTGAAATTTGAACCTGGATTATTTGTTAATTAAATTATTTGCCAAGCGATGGCCCTACTGCTTTTGATGATTTTTCAAGATATCAGAGAAGCTGCATTTCTCCTCTGGCCTGCGGAGAGTGAGATCCTTTCCCGAAAATCGCCAGATTTTCCCTTTCCACAAAAAGCCCTTTCACTTGCCTCCTTGCCCTTTTTGTGTGCCACTGCATACATTGTACACACTTCATTATTTAATATAAAATGCATCCTCACACGCACAGCCACACACACACACACAATCACACACACAAAGGCAAAGACAATTGCTGTGCAAGGCGAGCAAGGCGAATGAGTAAAAACGTTATTTAATTAATTAATTTTCATTAAAAACACGACAAAATGCGACGGCAATTGGGCAGGGGAAGGAGCAACGGCAAAGGCAAAGGCAAAGGCAGGGACAGCGGCGTGGGCAGGGACATGGAAAGGACACTACGGGGCGGTACATTAAAGGACGAGCAGATGCTCCTCCCTTGTCCTGTCAGTCTGGCTGTCATTTACAATTTTAATCTCGTTGTGCAGCAGTTTAGCTTAAGTTCGGGACGGCGGGATAATGAGCGGCCGACCCACGCTTAAGGATAATGGAGCCTGCAACGGAACAGGACCAGCAGACCGCCCCTCACCACCATCTCCACACCAACCTGTAATTAAACAATCGCGTATGCAGCCAGCACTTCCTTCACCTGGGCGAGTAAGGACCAGCGGGCAAGTTGGGCTCACAAATTTCATGGCTAATAAATCACTTTTAATATTAATAAAACATAAATCACGGCCAACTAAAAACTTGGCCTGCTGGCTGGATGCTGCAGTCTCATTTTGGCGCCTTTTGTTCGATGCCAAAAAGTTTAAGAGAAGCCCCCAGGAAGAGGTACTCCAAGAATGTGCCAAAGTTGCGCAGGTTGGCGAAGGATAAGCGTGGGATCGAATGGGTTTTTAAAGTTCAGTTGGGTTCAAGTTGCCGAAAATCAAAAACAGAGGGGCGGCTGAAGATGAAAGTAATATATCTGGGTTTTGGTAAGAATTTTTGATGGTTGGGTGGGAAATAAGGGAACTCATTAATGGTTTGAAAAAAATACAAATAGACATGGAAAATATAAATTAAAAACAATTTTCAGTAAAATGATGTTATATTATTATATTATAAATAATATAAATTTATTCCTGTTTAGACATATTTTGAAACGAGCAAAAACTCAGTTTTGCTGCACTTTTCAAGCCAAAAAAATATAAAAAAAACCAATAATAATTAATCAATTTTTAATATGACTTCACTTCATTATGACTTATTATTATATCCTGCTACGTAAAATTTAAAGTGTTTAATAGATTGTAATTAAGCAGCTTACTTAGTACTTAAAACATTTTAATTTATGTTCAAAAACTCCAAAAAACTGGGTTAAGCCATTAGTCTCTCAAAAAAAATTTTCATAATCATAAAATTTGAAATAAGTAACTATTTTTATTACTATTACTAATATTATTCCAAACTAACATTAAAAACTGTAATATTCACTCATATAACAAGTATCTAACATTTTAAAATAATTCCTTATAGTTTCTAAATGAAAAAGGTTTCAAGTTATACCATTTCCAGCAAAGTCCAATTGGTTTTCTTAGTCAGAAACTTTATTTTATTTACCACAAATCTCGTGGATCGCCAATAGCAATTTCACTTTATACCTATTGCAAGATCTGTTAGGAAAGTTATTATGTGATTTGATCTGCCTACGTTTTCCCTTTCAAAAAGGGCGATGTCAGAAGTTAATATAGATTTTTTTGTCTGAACAAAATTCCTTCAACAAATTGAACGATCAAGAGAACTGGCACTTTTGTGATCACAGAGTTGCAAATTCGAACTACTTCGAAATATGTTAATAAATCGTTAATGAGCTTGAAAACTTTCGGGGCATAAGCTTTTAGGATAAGCCAATTGAATGTGTCATCAGCTTGGCAATTACAAATTACAAAACAAAGAAGGATGTAACTATAAAAACAAATACATAATTATCAGGAAAATTGTTTATATAAATACCCGAGGAAGGTGCAGTGAACCACTGTGTAAATAAAGAGTTTAATTCACTGAAACCAAGAGCTAAACGATAAACGAACAATCAAAGGTAAAGATAAAGGCTTGCATCAAGTGACTGAAGATGCACAAACCTCGACAATGAAAGCAAATGCGGGAAAACAGGAACAACACAGAGATGCAATGAACTGAATAGGCATTCACTCGTGAACAGCCAAAGGATTCCGCAAAGAATCGACTCGATTGGTGTAAAAACGGGTTGAGTGGTTGGGAAAAGAACGAGACTGTTAACGTACCGATAACGCGATTGACAACTGAGTGAGCAAGCGTATGTGAAATGATTGAGGGCAGCGATCAATGGGCAATGAAATAAAGGACTGAACGGGGAACGGTCTTCACTTAGCTAGTATTTTCAAAACACAGCCACTTCCCGCGGGAAACTTTCGAATTGCAGTTTCTAGAATTACCTTTTTTGAAAAACAAGAGATGCGCCGAAACGGGTCCCAAGCACTGGCCAACACTCGAAAAAAACTTAGAAAATAATCAAGCCAACACTTGTCAAAACAACTCTTTCTTTGACTTTCAGCTAGAGTAATTATATCACTTGTTGTTGTTGTTGCTTCGCGTCGCTCGAAAAGCCTTTTTTCGAAACTCTTGAATTCCCAACTCGGAGCTGAGTCCTTTTCGTTTTTCGAATCCACTGGACTGAACTGAACCGACGCGCTAGGAAGTTGCCCGAGCACTGAACCTGTCGCGCCAAGCGCGTTTCGCATTGGACCGACCTAGCGCAACGCGCTCGTCCTTCGGCAGCACAGGCGTCCCGACTGCCCGACTTTCCAAATTCCCGAACTCCCGACTTTCCGATGTCGAGTCCGACGTGGAGTCCTGTGTCCCGTCATCCCGAATTCAGCCGAAGCCGGTCGATGTGTCCGAAGCACAGCTCTTGTGGCAGTCGAAAGTGTTGGTATCTGACCGTTAGCAACATGTTGATAGCAACATTTTTAAGCCGTTAGATTGCCTAAATTTTAAGTGCAGAGAATTGTTTATTGATAAGCTTATCATAACTCTTGAACCCGATTTCTTATATTTTTGATACACGAAAGAAGAGGGACTCAATACCTTAAAGAAAGTTATGCAAGTTATCTATGAACTAAATACCTTTTTTTAAGATAAGATGGTGAAATTTTAGTTTAAATCGTTTGCTAAGAAAGAGAGTTTAAAAGGACCTTTTCGTGTTTTGGATTTTCTTTACACCAAATTAGATTTTGAGCAGTTAAACTGTTAAGCTCGTGTTCCTTATATGTTTAGTACACGAAAGAATAAACTCTTTACACATTACATTAAATTATATAAATGTCAGATTTTTATGAATCACCTGTTTTGAAAATAACTTGGTGAAATTTTAGTTCAAATTTTTTGCTAAGAATGTGACTTATGACTTTTCTGAACACAAAATTAGATTTTAAGCAGTGTATATAGCTTACTATATTGAATAAGTTATCGGAACTCTTAAATGTGTGCTCCTTATATTATTTTTTTGAAGGTAACTTGGTGAAAGTGACTTCCGACTTTTCTGAGCTCAAAATTAGACTTTTAGCTTTTTAATTTAAATTTTCAAGATATTCAAATTCGTTTGCTAAAACTAATAAATATAATTAAGCTTGAATCTGGCAGAAAACTTTCAGCTTTTGGAAGTGGCTTTTGACAAAGTCGATTGACTTAGGTAGTTTTGCAGATTGCTTCTGTCATATTCGATCTCAGGAGGCCTTTTAAAACAGTCAATCAATACGAGTACAACCTGAATCTTACAACCTTTTGGTATTTAATTATTTTAACCAGAAACGTATAAATGAAGGTCAAACTAACTAAATAAGAAGTGATTTAATCAGAATCATAAGGACATAGGGAATGTTGATCACACGAAACCAGGATTTTTCTTTGATCAGCTGAGATGTCCTTTATGTTCTGCATTCCTTCATCTTGAAATATAATTAAGATTGCAGGCGGCAAAGGAGCGTTAAGTAACTTAAATAACTGCGGCTTTTGCAATCAAAGTCACTTTGTCGGCGCTCTTCTTCCTTCAGGAAAATTCACTTACCAGGTGCTTAAAAAAGGACTTCTCCCCCTGCCTTTCTACTTTCTCCCCCTGCGCCACTCCCGTCCGCTCCGCTTTCTCCACAGCCACCCACACATCACTTAGGCAAATCAAGGAGACCAATAAAGGCAAAAAGGCGGCAACACTTAGTCAGCCAGCTCGCGATGAGAGCGAGAGTCCCTGCAGGATCTCCTGCCTATCATAAGTCGTCCCCACATGTGTGGAAAGCGGGAAAAGTGGGTGGGCAAAGGTGAGCTGGGTAAAAGCACTTTTGCGCTTGTTTTAATGAAATTCAATGCGTCGACGGCGGCGACGTCGACAAACCTTTTCACCAAATGAACACGAAAATTTTCATCAATGTCTGGGGCGAAATGGGTAAAACGGGTGAATTGGAGGTCTACGCATACCCGAAAGTAACCAAAGAAACCCACTTTCATGCTTCATAAGTAAATTCATTTGGCATGCCCGCCAGTTCGTCCCGCGGCCCACACCTCAAGCTTAATGAAATGTCATCAACTTTGAGGTGTTTATTGCGCTGACAACCCAGGGAAAGAATTACATCAGCGGTGGGTGCGTGAGATGCTTTCAAGTACCTATCGGCCAGGCTGGGAAATCACTTCACTCACGCTTCAGTCACGCAGTCATCTTCAGCACATGTAAATACATCACAGGAGTTGGTGGGGCGGGGAAAACCCTTTGAGCAGGACCGAGGAAAACCGAGCCCAAAGTAATCTTTGAGTCTTGCTGTCAACCGACGACGGGTGCCAAAGGTGTGTGTGCTAAGCAGGAAAAACATTTTCATGTATCATAAATTGTCTAACACTTAAAAAGTGATTACGTCTGCGTGTTCCACCCCCTTTCCTATCAATGGTGGGGCACAGAGACCCTTGCCAGAGCAATCCAATCGAGGACATCAATTTATAGAGTTGCCAACGGAGGAGCTTAGCACTTTAGATAAACAATTTTGTGCAAGTTGTTAACTTTTACGATGACTCATTAATTTTGTAGATTCCCACTTGTAGTTTGAATGGATGGATGGGCTGAGCGGGGCGGAGTTTCGGGCCATCGTAGTTTCTGCTGAATTGTTGTTTGACAAAAGTTGTTTGTCGATTTTAATGATGTGACACTAAATACTCGTCGAAGGCTCCGAAGGACCCAAAAGTCCCGCATTCTGATTGTGCCGGAACTTTTGCATAACCATGCCTTGGGTTCCTGTTTCCACAAGTCCGCAATGCATCCTGCCAAAAACAATAAACATCTCGCACTCGAAACAGATGACAGCACATCACATAATTAGTGGACTCCGGACTCTGAAAGCCTTTGGTCCGGAGCGAAAGGTGCCTGGCAAAAACCATATCATTCCAGAGATGGACCGACGGTTGATTGGGGTGTTGGGGTCATGGAGCGTGTAACTAATCGGAAAAGTTTTGCTAGTTTGCGGTTGATGGAGGGATCAGGATTTGGGGGCTTTGCTTATTATAATTTAAGTTTTAATTCGGAGGAATAACTGCATTTGGCAAGCATATCAGTTTCTCCGATTTGTGCGAATTTCCACCCCATTTTCGCCTCGTCCAATGCCCGCTCTGATAAAGGAATAAAAAATTGTAACTTTCATTCAGCAAACTGATAACTTTGCTTTGAAAAAAACATGTTTTTGTGCGTATTTTCTCATTTCCTTTGAATTACTTGGTGATTCATGCTGATAGGTAGTTTTTGTTAACTCCCCTGATCAACAGGAAAAATGGTCTGCTTCTGAAGTTTTTAATGAAGCTTTTAATGTAAAATAATGAGAAAAATAAGCGAAGCCATAGAGGAGTCACATTTCAAAAGAGTTAATTTAATATATTTCGGAATTGTCAACTTTTTGATGCCGCAAAGCGAAGAGCCATTAGAACTCACCAGGGATTGACTACTACTCCACAAGTACTCACATTTCCTTATTCCCACATTTCCCTCCAACAGTCAATGTAAGTGACAGAGATCCCGACTTTTCCGGCTATAATTTGATGTTCGGAAATCAACAAACTTGGTCCTGCTCCCCTCTCGAATCGTCGGGTCTTTCCGTATCTTCCCTTGTGTTTGGTGCTTTATTGGTGTTGTCGGGCAAATCGCTACAAAATGTAACTACTTAACAGCGACAACATTTCCACTGGGCGTTGCGGCGGCTAGGGGTCAGGGGTCACGGGCCAGGAGCTGTTTGTTGGGGCCTTATGGCCTGGCAAATTAAGGAATTTTCATTGAAAAAAACTCGCCAGTCACGCAACAATCATTTGGCCTGGGTCAACGTCAACAAATACCAGCAGCTACACGGAAAGAAATCGTCTTGCAATATATGTGAAAAGTTCAATATTTAGTTTGTAATCGTAACACCAAATAAAGGTTTAAGCTGCCAGAATTTGGAGCAAGATATTTACTGTGAGAAATATAATTCTATAATTTATACAACATTCTTCGTAAGTGAAAGATGGTATGTATTAATTTGGCAACCCACCAGCGTATTTTAAAGAACAACTCAACAGTTCATAGGTATTCTTCCGGTGTAGCCTCTAAAACCCATTTGCCCCCACCCGGCGCGCATCCTTTGTGCCGTGGCCTGTCCATCAATGGAAATATGTGCCCCCTTTTACCGGCAACAGCCACTGCCCCACACTTTATTATTTCTTATTGAATAATTATGGGTCATTTGGTTGCGGCGACGTGGTGGGCGTGGCAAGGGGCGGGGGCCTGGTGGCCGAGGGGTCGCGGTGTCGCAGGGTGGCCTGTCGCCTCACGTGCTTATCTTGTTTCCGTTGCTTCATTTAAAAGTTAATGACTGCTTTTAATGCCCAGGAATCGGACTTGGACTCCGAAGCGGGTGAACTTCAGCTTCCGGTCGGTGGCCATGTCACCAGACAGGCAAATTGATTAGGTTTAAAGGCAAAAATCATGGCATACATTAGGGGCACCCACTTACCCACCCGTCGACCGACTGTTCCCATTAAGGGCGAAAATGTTTTACAAATTGAAAGTCACGCAACAATTGACCAGCCCCGGCCATTCTGCCCCTGTCTCTGGCCCTGCGCCCTGCTCAGGCACTGTCCCACCGAAAAGCCGAAAAAAGAGAAAGTAACCACATTAATGTCGGTGGTTGTCTCGCAAACGCCAGCGGCTATCAAAGGCAAATGTTATTGAATCATTAACACCTGGGCTCTCGCCTGGCTGCTGAAAAAATGATGCCATAAAGTTGATTAGAAGTCACTTAATGGCAACGGATGTGCAGGTTTATTACAATTTGTAACGAGAGTCCCGAAAGCTCCAGCGGTTCCGTTGGTTTTTGGGAGTGTTGGGGGTTTTGGGGGCTCCCACCGCGTCCGACATTAGCGCTTATAAAATATGTAGCGGTCGCGTGTCTGTTTCCAATAAATACGGAGCACCCGGCAGGAATCGGAATAGAAATCGGGAATCCTTCGACCACGGCCACTCGAGCTGAACCGAACCGAGCAGAAGAGAACTGAACTGAATTCCATTCCTTCATTCCGGCTGCGACGGCGGCACTTAAATAGCCGTAAAGACAACGCCGAATGCTGTTCGAAAATCGAATGGCGGGTGTAAACCGATTTGGGCTGGAGTCGTCGTCTATCTACGTACAGCTGC